TGAATCTTTAGGACAAGCCTTATTTAAACCAGTATAGTCTATGCAAACGCGCTATTTTTCATTCTTTTTTTGGAACCACAACGGTATTAGCTAACTAGTCAGGGTATTTTACCTCTCGTATTGAACCAATTTTCAAAAGCTTTTATACTGGATCACTTAATTTTTGAAGGACCCTTGCTTCCTTTTCTTTTGCTTGACATGTGGGTGTAATGGATCCTTATTCAGCTTATGAGTCATCACCTCCAGTGGTATACCTATCATATCTGAGTGCGACCAAGCAAAGCAATATGTGTTAGCATGTAAGAATTCAATTAACTTACCTTTCATCTTTGGGATTAAATTTTCTCTAATGTAACTTTTGAACAAATAATATTATAGTTTCGAGCTCCTAGGTGGATGTTTTAATGTTCTCATTTTCCTCTGGCTCTTGAATCACATCAGGTCTTGAGTCAACATTGGTTTGACCTTGCTCTCAATTGAATTATGTAATTGCTATTTCGCATCAGCATCATTGGCTACTGTACTTGCAATCACCACCGAGTTGATACTCCGTGAAGCTTGTTAATCTCCGCGGATTCGACTAATTCCCCATTGTGAAGGAAATTTGATGACATGATGCAATGTGGATGGGACAACATCCATATCATGAATCAACAGTCTTTCTAGAATTATATTATAGGACATGTCCGTGTCTATCACCAGGAACTTTATATCCTTGATGACCCCTTCTACAAATGTGGTAAGTAAAACTTTCCCTTTCATAACAATACTTGAATTATCAAACCTAGACAAGGTTCGTGCTTTTGGTATGACCTTATAATTAGCTTGCATTTTATTTACCACCCTCAGTAAAATAATGTTCACTGAGCTATTTGTATTAATCAAACTCATTTTACATTAATCATGTACAAGTAAAGATATTACCAGTATATCATTGTGATAAATCATCAAGCTATCTGCGTCTTCATCGTTGATGTTATACTATCGTCATCCAAGACTTGGCGAACTCGCTTTCCATAAGTGACGGTGACTTTTGATGTTTTTTTCGTGGCTGTGTATGTTACTCCATTGACCTCATCTCCTACAGTTATGACGTTGATTGTTCTTTTTGGTGATGGAGGTTTTGGGATTTTCTGTCTTTTCTTCATGTATGGTTGTCTCCCTTTCTCACTGAACATATCACTAAAATAACCTTACTTTAATAAATATTCGACCTCTCCTTACAAAAGCCTGCAATCTATTGTTCTATAGCCATGATCATTGTGAAACTCGCACCAAAAATCTGAGTTTCTTTTGTTCAGATCTGATATTATTTCTTTTGCCCATCGCACCTTATCTCCCATACCTCTTAAAATAGCTACTAATTCAGATGTGCTAATGTTAAATATGCAGTTCCCCATTCTTGCTTGCGTACTGGAATCATTACTTCGGGCATCCCGCTCCTTTTTGAACATGGATAAAGGACTGACGTCTTTTTGCCTTGATTTTGAATCAAATCGTGCATTCTCCTTTTTAGATCAAGAGTCTCGCCTGCAGGTCCCATGTATGGCTCGTTCCTGTTTTTACCGGACCTCCTTTCTAATTATGAGCATCTCGAACCTGGTCTTTCTTAGGCGTTTGGCCGCGCGACCGTATCTTCTTCTATCCGCAGCTTCGTATTGTATCTATTATACACATCATTCCAAGTTGCTGTAGGAAATTCTTGCAAATAGTTTTTCAACCTCCTCGTGGCTTCTGAACTTTTCTCGTTCAAGTTGCTCGCGAATGCCATAGCCGCCCAGTTATCAGGTACTCAAGAAAACATCATCCTCTCCCGCTGCAATCTATCTACAAATTTCCTGAGCAATTCTGTACTCCCTTGTTTAACCTTAAAGATGTCCTCCATCATTTTTCAACTTTTTCAGCCCCCGAATGAGCTTTTATAAATGAATCTGCAAGCTCATCAAAAGAATCAATAGAATTTTTAAGTAAAAGAGAATACCACATTAACGCTCCTTTTGTGAGTCTTTCGCCAAACGTTTTAAACAAAACTGATTCGATTTCCTGCTTGATTAAATCATTGCCTTTCACGCCGACAGTGAATATGGTTACGTGATCACAAGGGTCGGTTGTTTCATTATATTTGGGAATATAAGGCATTTTAAACTTTTTGAAAATTGGTAAAGGTGTTGCACTTGGCTTCCAAGGTTGCTGTAAATATTTATCAATATCCACACCTCTGACCACGGGTGGCACGCCAAGTATTTGCTCTATACGATCATTTTTCTCCTTCAATTGTTTTTGCAAAGTTAGCATTAAACTTTGTAAATTTGAATTATTTGGTGTACCTAACCCTTCATCACAAGATTCAGTGGGAATTTCTCCACTTCTAGAGTTATCAACCCCCGAATGTGGTTCTCCAAAGTTGTTGTATTCATTGGTGGAGGAGTTTGCGTTGCATTGGGTAACCCTCTGACAAAAGCCTGTAGTGCATTGTTCATGTGTTCTACAATCAATTACATTATAAAATTCTGCTCCACGGTTTGGTAGTCTCCCTACTGATCATCAGTGCGCGAAGCAGACCTTTCAGGTGAACTTCCACGGGATTGTTGAGGGGATCCCGTAGGTGTGTGGTGTGGTGAATTTCCATCTTGTTGGTTCAGCTGGTTGTTCTCGTTAACGGTTGACATACTTGGTCGTTAAAAATGAAGTTTGGAAAGTGAACAGATTATTAGATTTCCGGTAATGGAACTAATTTGTTTAACCCAAAAATAGATTTCTCGGTCAAAGTCAATATCAAGAAGAAATCAGGTTACTGATAACCAATATTTACTTACTTTACCAATAATTTGAAGAATAAATCAAGGACTAGAAATAATTGACAAAGAAAATATGAAACAGATTGATAACCCCTCCCAAAATTGCGATTTTAAACCTTGAGAATAAAGTAAAGAATGATTGTATAAAATTTAATAATTATCCGATCATATAACAAATAAGGTTTTAGTCCTTATATAGGAGCATACAATTATAATGGTCCTCTTAATTAATTCGAGCTCATTAATGGCATTATTTGCCTTGATTACTGTTACCCTATACAATTATAGCGGAATTATTTATGGCTAAAAATGTCTTGTAACCGTATCGATTTCCCTTCCTTATTTATGATAGGTTCGTGCATCTTCCCTTCTTAATAGCCTTATTCATTCCGCTACAGTTTCTCCTTTTACAGCTATCAGGTCCAGCTCCTTTCTCAGTATAACCCTGTGGGTATTCCTCCTGTGCCTTTTTCGCATTCTTTAACTCATCTAATTTAGAACGCCACTTGTCACTATATTGATGGTCCACATACCATACCCTGTCACCTCGTTGATAGTCTATGTGTCATGCCTTTTTTCCACTAATACAACTAGCACTACCACCAAGGTGTGTATTGACCAACAATCTTTCATATTTGTAGTATACCACCCAACAAAGTATTTTCTTTTTTCTTTCTTTTACGTTCGTACTACCCATAATTTTTTTTTTTCTACGTACCACGGAATTGTATGTTCCTTTTTTTTGTTCCTTGTTGAAAATTACGTACAACTCATGGTTTTCTTTTCTCTCTGTTTTTTTTTTTTTTATGTTTATATACCAACAAAAATATTTTCTTTTTTCCTTTTCTAAATGTACTACCCATAAAAATGTTTTTTTTCTCTGTTGAAACTTATGTGCCACTGATAAAAAGGTTTTCTTTTCTTATCAAGTACGTACCACCAACAATAAAATATCAAGAAAAGTGAAGCTTATGAAAACTTCAAATAACGACACTATCAAATTAGCAAAACACAACTAAAGAGCAAAATCTATACTATTAAGAGCCTATTACTCATCCAAATTACAAAACCATCCCACAGAAAAGCAAAAGAACATACTAAAATTACTTTGCTAATTTTATTATTTCTTTAAACATACTTCAGAAGCTGTCTTGCTGATCAAGGGTTGTCTCACCACAGTTAGTTGCGTTAATTCTGTGTCAATAACATCATAGAACTATAGAAGCATGGCATAAAAGCATATGAACTTGCATATAAAATTAATGCAACTAGACAATCAATGTACAAGAGAGGAACCTTTGACTAAGCTACAGATTTATGTAGAATCATGTTTAAACCATCAATTTAGCAAAAATAGAGATTAACAATTAGGGTAAATATTCAGACTAATTAGCAATTAACTTAAACATGGTGTTTCTGTCACGACCCGGATTTTCCACCCTCGGGAGTCGTAATGGCGCCTACTGATGTGAGTTAGGCAAGCCAATTATTGAACCATCTACCTTTTTACCAATTTTATTCTCTTTAACAATTATGAAGAAATAACATTTAAACAACGGAATATAATATAAGCGGAAGAAAACAATAAGCCATCTGAACATGAATATCTATTACAACCGCTTGAGTCTCGACTACCCAGAACTGGTGTCACAGTTTCACAAACGGTCTAAGAATACTACATATAAAGGTCGGAAAGAATTAATACAACGCTGTCTCTGGAAATACATGTAAGAAACAGGAAAGTAGATAGAAGGAGATACCAAGGCCTACGGACGCCTGCAGGGCTATCTCGGGTCGCCTGATGAACAAGAATCAACAATCTCACTGCGGTCCGAAGTCTACAACATTGGGGTCTGTACAAAAGAGTGCAGAGTGTAGTATCAGCACAACCGACCCCATGTGCTGGTAAGTGCCTAGCCTAACCTCGGTGAAGTAGTGACGAGGCTAGGACCAGACTACCAAATAAACATACTACTACAAAAAGGCCTTTGGCGGCAATTATTTAGCGGCAATAAAGCAATGATCGCTAATAAATTCTTTAAGATTAAATATTAGCGGCATATGACCATTAGCGAGTAAAAGATATCCTTTTACCGGCAAAAAAAAAAATAATAGCCACTAAAAGTTGCTAATTTAAATTAATCTTTTATTATTTTAACAATCCCTTCCCATGAAAAAGAGAAAATCTTTCCGTCTAATTTTTTTAGATACCTTTTATCGTTTCCAAATGAACGAAAAACCTAACTCATTCCCCAGTTGAACGAAAAACAATAAAACATCGAATCCTAAATCACTACTGAAAATCCTAACTCGCTGCTGCGTCAACGGCAGTGCGAGTGCATCAACGACAACCCATCTTTTTTCCAGGTAAATTCTGTTCTCTTCGATTTACAATCGATTTACAGTAGAATCGACTTCGCTGCCGAAAAAACCTAACTCACTGCTGCGTCAACGACAATGTGATTTACAGTGTGTCAACAACAGCCCATCTTTTTTCAGGTAAATTCTCTTCTCTTCGATTTACAAAGATTTATAGTAGAATCAATTTACAGTAAATTAACTTCTCTTCTTCCAATCGATTTACAGTAGATTTTGTATTGATGTTGGTCGATTGATTTACAGTAAATCAGTTCCCAACTCGTTATTGCATCAACAGCCTGCCGTAGTGCCCGTCCATCTTCTTCCCTTGTTAACTTCTTTTTTTTTCCCGGTTAAATCAGTCGCTTGCAATCGATTTACGGTAGATTTTGAATTGATTCTTGTCGATCGATTTACAATAGATTATGTGTACATTAATCTGGTAAAAGTCATGTTATTATTTGGATGTAGAAAATCCTGATTTAGGAAGTTTGTTTCGGCTGCTTATCTCGTATATCTAAATTTCTCTTATGTTATAAACCAATTTTTGGGAATGAAACTTATATAGTTGCCGAGGTTAATGTTCTTGTACATGGGATTCGTGTTCTATATGAAACGATGTATTTAGCATGGACAAAAAATTTCAGATCCTTTAATAAGCATGGACGCCCTTCGTTACTTTAAGAATGACCTTCAAATGGTGTAAAACAGGCCCTCAGCTATTTATATATTAGATTGAACTTTGTTAAGTGCTTAGATAAAGAATATAAATATATAGAGTACCGCTGAGATATCTTTCTGATTGCAAAATCTATCTATTGCCAAGACTTATTCTTTTCCGTGTTAAAGGTCCATGTCATGGGTGTGAGGTTTTCTAGAAAAGCAGTTATGAATAATCTATAAATTAGTGTACTATTGAGTTAAAAGAAATAGAATTCTTGCAGTAATTTGTAAATAATTATGAACCTATACTTACCAGAACATTTAAGGTTTTAGTTAGAGTAGGAGTACATAATTCTATCCTTAAGAGAGAATTTCATTAAGCTAGTAACTAAAGTAAGGTACACAAGCTATCATATTTTTATTTCTTTTCTATCATCATGGTAAGAAATGATTGCTTATTCTTATTCATATAATGATATGATAGACATTGCATCTTAGGAACTTATATTTGCTTAGGGAAATTTGATTTTAAGAGGTCAGGTTTGGATGTAGATTATTAAATAGGTTGTGAATATGCGAAAGTATATTGACCTACCATGTTTTTACCAAAATATATTACTAGTTGTACTTTTAGTATATTGTTTGAACAAACTTCTGATATTCTTAGTTGTGACTAGTGTGTAGCCGAAATTTCTACATCCAACTGAAGGAAGAGAATGGATCAATATTTTTATCTTTTTAATCTTTAAATTGCAATTTGTTGTAATAATAATGTGTAAAAGTCGCAGATAAAAGCAGATCACTTAACGAATTGCGGTTAAACTATGTCAATGATCAAAAATATCTTTGTATTAATTCGTGTGCTTCGTCTTCTCTTGCGAAAATCTAGGTCCTTTGCGCATTTGTTCAAAAAATAACCTGGACTACTTGAAGGTTGCTGACTGAGATATAATACTGGACAGATGCTTAAAGTGAATACGTCTGATGTGCTTATGGTTTATTCCGTGTTGCTATCTTCTTCAGGATATTCTGGAGAAGGCCCAAACTCTCTCACTGCGAGCTTTATTAATTGATTTGATCCAGACAGTTTATCTGAGAGGAGTAACTGGAAGTGCATGAGGTCTATCGCATGTTCACTGTTTTGTGCTGTCTTTTAAATTATATGTTGGCTTTAGATAGTCATGGGGAGAACTCTTACATAAATACTTTTTGGTCCTTGAAGTTCTTCTTCTGATAATTCAGTGGGGTTTTAGCGTAATTTCAAAGGATTTTCCCCCCAATTTTATGGTTTTAAAGCAGCTAAAAGAATATTTTGAAATGTCCATGCATTATACAATCACGTTTTCGGAAAATCTAAAAGGACATTTCAAGAAGTTGGCACAGAAGTTTTTTTCATTTCAGGAGATACTTTCAAAAACAATTGTCCTATGCTGTTGCCTAAATTAGTAAATAAGTTATCGAAATTGAGATATCCTATCACCTTTAGATTACAGTATCTTTTCTCTTATAAAAAAAAATTGTACCTTTTCATAATTAGAAAAAGGATAGCTGCTCGGTTCCTCCAAATAGGTCACCACCTAGCAACATGGTCGCGGTCATTTGATTTAACGAACCTTTACCACAATGTCCATGTCTGGGATCGAGCTTCATATTTGTGCTTGGTTGTATTGTTTAATGGTTTATTCCTCATATTTTTTTCAAATTGTTAGTATTTTGCGTTCTTTTCTTTCCCCGAAATGGAGAAAATGTTTGAAAATATGCTCCATGCTCTTCATTTTCTGACATGAAATATATTTTGTAAAAAATATTTTGGCCTAATATTTTGTTAATGTAATACACCAATTACTTTTAACTTTTAAATTCTTCATCACTTTTGAGTGTTGTGGTTTACATTTTGGGGCTTGCACAATGACCATTTCTGGCCAGTGAAATACTTTTCATACTTTTCAATCAGTCAAGAACTCAAAATTAATGGGACCTGCTGTGTTACACATTTGAACAACATTTTTACACTTTAAATGTTAGAAAAATTTCTTTAATTATGTTTACCATGTCATGTGTAGGTCAATTTCTTTTTCTTGGTCTAAAGCATGTAAATTCTTTGATTTGTAGTAGTGAGACTTGTACTTTGCTTGCTATGGTTCTTCATTCTCCTCCATCAATAATGCTGCCGCAAATCCTGAATAAATCAACTCTCGGAGTCCATTCATATTAGGCACACAAACTCGACCCTGCAATCTCAAAACTCCATAATCACCTAAGGTAACCTACTTGGCACCTCCGTGCTACACCGTGCCTCTGAGGACACACAAGTTGGGATCATCATACTGCCGATCACGGATATGCTCCAATAAAGAAGAACGAGCGACCGCGCAAGCTAACACCCGACCGGGCTCAGAAACATCCAACCTCACGAACTGATTGGCCAAAGCCTGAACATCCAAAGCAAGCGGTCTCTCACCAACCGGAATATAAGCAAGACTGCCCATACTGGCTGACTTCCTACTTAAAGCATCAGCCACCACATTGGCTTTTCCCCGGTGATATAAGATGGTGATATCATAATCTTTCAACAACTCCAACCACCTCCTCTGCCTCCAAATCTTCAATGCATGAACAATGGCTGCGGACTCCAAAACATGAACCGGATAGTTCTTCTTATGAATCTTCAACTACCATGAAGCATATGCAATGACCTTGCCATCCTGCATCAATACCGCACCAAGCCCAATACGAGACACATCACATTAAACTGTATAGGCCCTGAACCTGTGGGAAAAACAAACACTGGTGCCGTAATCAGAGCTATGTTGAGTTTCTGAAAGCTCGCCTCACACTCGTCCGACCATTTGAGCTGGGCACCCTTCTGGGTCAACCTGGTTATCGGGGCTGCGATAGATGAAACCCCTCCACTAACCGACGATAGTAGCCTGCCAATCCCAAGAAACTCCGAATCTCAGTAGCTGATGCTGGTCTAGGCCAGTTCTTGACTGCCTCAATCTTCTTCAGATCAACCTGAATACCCCCTGCTGATACAACATGACCCAAGAATGCAACTAAACTCAACCAGAACTCACACTTCGAGAACTTAGCATATAACTGACTATCCCTCAGAGTCTGAAAAACCACTCTGAGATGCTGCTCATGCTCCTCTTGACTGCGGGAATATATCAAAATATCATCAATGAAAACTATCACGAATGAGTCCAAATAAGGCCTGAACACTCAGTTCATCAAATTCATAAAAGCTGTTGGGGCATTTGTCAAACCGAATGACATCACTAAGAACTCATAACGCCCGTACCGAGTGCGGAAAGTTGCCTTAGGGACATTGGATGCCCTAATCCTCAACTGATGGTAGCCAGATCTCAAATCAATCTTTGAAAATACCTTGTCACCCTGAAGCTGATCAAACAAATCATCAATACTCAGCAATGGATACTTATTCTTGATTGTAACCTTGTTCAACTGCCGGTAATCAATACACATTCTCATCGATCCATTCTTCTTCTTAACCAACAACACCGGCACACCCCAAGGCGAGACACTCGGACTAACGGATCCCTTCTCAAGCAAGTTCTGCAACTGCTCCTTCAACTCTTTCAACTCAGGCGGGGCCATACGATACGACAGAATAGAAATGGGCTAAGTGCCCGGAGCTAAATCAATGCAAAAATCAATATCCCTGTCGGGTGGCATACCCGACAGGTCTGAAGGGAATACCTCAGGAAACTCATGAACAACGGGCACAAAATTAATAGAAGGAACCTCAGCACTAGAATCACGAACATATGCCAAATAGGCCAAACACCCCTTCCCGACCATACGCCGAGCCTTCACATAAGAGATAACACTATGGGTAGAATGACCAGGAGAGCCTCTCCACTCTAAACGAGGCAAACCCGATAAATCTAAGGTCACATTCTTGGCATGACAGTCCAAGATAGCGTTGTAAGGTGATAACAAGTCCATACCCAATATAACATCAAAATCGACCATGTCTAGAAGCAATAAATCTACACGAGTCTGAAGACCCCCAATCATAACTATACAAGAGCGATGGACTCAACCTACCACAATAGAATCACCCATCGGTGTAGACACATAAACAGGAGCACTCAATGAATCACTAGGCATGGCCCGATACGGTGCAAAATAAAACCGAAGCTTCCCTACCACAAACCAGAACAACACCTGCACCTCCACCTCTAGCATCTCTACCTCCACCTTTAATACCTCTACCTCCACCTCCAGCTAACTGAGCTGGCTTGACGAGTCCCTCAATGAACCTCCTCACTCTCTCTCATAGTGGAAAGTATGATAAGAGCATGACGAACCAAGTCGATGAATCTGATCTCGTACTGAGTAACAGTCATAGAACCTTGCTAGAGACGCTCAAACTGCCTCCGATAGACCTCTCTCCGAGTGATGTAGAGAAACTCCTCCAGAAATAGCTGCATGAACTGTTCTCAAGTCAAAGCTGATAACCTAACTGGTATAGCCAATCAATAATCCCTCCAACAGGTCTTGGTGGTTCCAGAAAAGCAAAAAGTAGCAAAATTCGACCCCATTGGTCTCCACGATCCCCATGTTCCTGAGAACCTCATGATAGCTACCTAGATAATCTTGGGGATCCTCAGAAGATGCACCGCTGAAAGTAGTGAAGAGCTGGGTGAAACTTATCCAACCTCCACAAAGCCTCCGAAGACATAGTTGATCTATCACCGGTCTGTGTTGCTGCTCGGCTGAAGAAGCGGTACATGACCTTGCCATTCGCGAAAGGACAAGAGTAGAGGTTTCAATTTAGCACTGAGAGAACAAAAATCGCACGACAGGAAAGAATGAATGTGAAGTTTTTTCCTAACTCTGTAGCCTCTAGGGGATGAATACAAACGTCTCCGAACCGATCCCTTAGACTCTACTAAGCTTGTTTATGAACTGTGAGACCCATGTAACCTAGAGCTCTGATACCAACTTGTCACGACCCGGATTTCCCACCCTCGGGAGTCGTGATGGCGCCTACTGATGTGAGTTAGGCAAGCCAATTATTGAACCATCTACCTTTTTACCAATTTTATTCTCTTTAACAATTACGAAGAAACAACATTTAAACAACGGAATATAACATAAGCGGAAGAAAACAATAAGCCATCTGAACATGAATATCTATTACAACCGTTTGAGTCTCGACTACCCCGAACTGGTGTCACAGTTTCACAGACGGTCTAAGAATACTACATATAAAGGTCTGAAAGAATTAAATACAACACTGTCTCTGGAAATACATGTAAGAAACAAGAAAGTAGATAGAAGAAGACTCCAAGGCCTACGGACGTCTGCAGAGCTACCTCAAGTCGCCTGATAAACAATAATCAACAATCTCACTGAAGTTTACAAGATTGGGGTCTGCACAAAAGAGTGAAGAGTGTAGTATTAGCACAACCGACCCCATATGTTTGTAACTGCCTAGCCTAACCTCGGTGAAGTAGTGACGAGGCTAGGACCAGACTATCAAATAAACCTGTGCAGTTATATAATATACATCTGAAAGTAAAGCAAGGATAAGCAAGTAAAGATGGGAGGGGGAAACATGTTGCAGGGATATACCAGTAATAATAGTAAATCCAGAGTAACTGTCTAAGGGCAGCTTAGGATTCACAGCAAACAATAGAAACTAATATCCAAAATAAACGCACTTGTATCAATTATTATTGCGGCGCGCAACCCGATCCCAATATATAACAACACTGTTGCGGCGTGTAACCCGATCAATATCATTTATCATTGTTGTGGCATGCAACTCGATCCATATAATATTTATGTGGCGTGCAACCTGAACCACATATAATATTATTGTGGCATGTAACCCGATCCACATATAATTGTTGTGGCGTGCAACCCGATTCACATATAATATTGTTGCGGCGTGCAACCCGATCCACATATAATATTGTTGCGGTGTGAAATCCGATCCACATATAATATTGTTGCGGCGTGCAACCCGATCCACATATAATATTGTTGCGGTGTGAAATCCGATCCACATATAATATTGTTGCGGCGTGCAACCCGATCCACATATAATATTGTTGCGGTGTGAAATCCGATCCACATATAATATTGTTGCGGCGTGCAACCCGATCCACATATAATATTGTTGCGGTGTGAAATCCGATCCACATATAATATTGTTGCGGCGTGCAACCCGATCCACATAAAATATTGTTGCAGCATGCAACCCGATCCACATATAATATTGACAACAATCATAACAAGAGTCCCGACAAGGGATCAATAAGGTCTACTGATCGCAGCAGACTCAACCTAAGGAAGAGTGGGCGCTAATACTTTTACCCAATAGTGGTATCGGGGTCAATTTTTTATAGGGAGCTTCGATTTGGAGTTGAGTGTTTGCATGGTCTAGGACTATGTTTTAGCTCCTAATTGATCTTCTAACATTTTTTATTTTCTTTTGA